GCTTCTAGGGCATGATTATCATGTAAAGTTGCAAACTTTACGTGCATGCAAGATGGTATGACCCAAAACAAGCTAAAAGGAGTGGCTTAAGGCAATGGGATAGGTCATAGCTTGGCAAATACTGAACTTTATGATAAAGAGAGGCTAAAGGATCCCATATTTGAGGTTGCAACTTCAGATCTTGACCCAACACAGAGAATCACCACAAAACCCTAAAAAGGGCTCTAAACCCAACCATGAGGGGTTCTACTCAAAGGAGAATCAAGGTAACAACTTGTTACCTTCAAAATGATGCTAACCCAAAGAAGAATCCGGATCTACAATAGCCACTAGCTCCAACTTCTTGCACTCCAAGCTCTTAACTCTAAAGGATCTTCTTTCAAGGTCAAGAACACACACAAAAGAGGGCAAACATGAATTAGGGTTTTCTGGGTTCAAGAGAGGCAGTAAGAGAGGCTAAGGAGAATATGTGATCCTTAAATAAGGTGCCAAAACCCTGGGATTTAGGGTGTCATCTTCCAACTCCTACTCGTCGAGTCCTTACTTGGATTTGTCGAGTAGATCACTAAACATGCGGACCAACCCGCTGCTACTCAACGAGTAGGGCTACTAATTCGTCGAGTAGACTTTGAAATCAAGAAAGTTCTTATGTAAGTCAATTACCTGAATATCGGGGCGTTACATGAAATGACTTGATACTTATGCTTTTATTAATGTTTCAAAAAGAAATTTTTGGTCATGATTTTTGGGAAGTTACACTGCGAGTGTAGCCATAACATTTACTAGGTTGGTAGATAACATGAGAGGAACAGTGGTACCCACCAATTCGGGTGCAGCAGTGAGGGCGTGGCAAATCCATGGATTGATTTATGGATTACGGAATTACCCAGATGGGTTAGATCTGGTTGAGCCAGAGATACGACTATAGGAACGCCACTACAGTTATAGTAACAGGGAAGCAATGGACCGTATGAAGTCGTTTGTTATATAAGGCTACCATTGGTCATGTAGCAATCACTTTTAGCTTTCGATTGGTGACGTCAGGACTCGATGTATGGACCAGATCGGTTGGGTCAGGAGGTTGTTAGACCCATAGTGTTAAGATAACTAATGGTAATTATTGACAGAAGAGAATTCCATTCACCAAATTCCTCTTTCTACACAAGCTACACAAGTTCTTCTTCACCAACTTCCTCTTTCTCATTCCAAGCTCCAAACCACCAAAATGGACTTTACAAGATCAAAATCAAACAAAGATGATGAGTGTTAGGCTTTCTAGGGATTCTGAGTTTGAGAGGCTGGTAAGGAGACTAGGGTTTGGGACATAATGATGTATGCATATGACTTAAACCCTAAATATTAGGGTTTTGGGTCGGACCGCGTACGTTACACCCCTTGGTAGGATGCACGTATGCACATCAACCCCCCACATCCAATGTTGCTACTATGCCTCGCGTACGCCAAGCTCACACCCAAAGCATGTCTTCAGTCGGTCCACTCACTAACGGACCAACTTAAATAGTCCAACATTACTCTCATAGTCCAATAATTAATTTCAAGAATTAAATAATTTAGCATTACCTCGAATCACGGATGTTATAGATTGGACAAAAGCTAGTAAAATACAGTGTGAAGTTAGAACTTATGAGAATGTAAACTGTTATGTGTATTATCTTTTTGTATTTACTATGAATGGAAGGGTTCAATCCTTAGTGACACCCTGTTATTCGAATATTTGGAATGAATAGTATATTAATGTGAAATTCAATTGTAACGACATTTCATTTATGCATCAGTTTGTTATTGTTTTGTTTTGTTTTAAGTTAATTAATATTATACTTAAATGGGGGAGGTTTGTTGGTGATTTGATACGCTAATTGTATTTAAGTGTAATTTGTTGACTTGTTGACCAAAATCAATCTTGATGAATATTAAACATGCAAGGAAGGTGTGGAGTGCACACTTGTTTAAATTTATTCAAGATTAAAAGTGGACTATCATTTAGGGATGAAGCTCCTGAACGAACGGGGGTCCAGGGGTAGAGCCCCTGGTGGAAAATTTTTATTTAGGTTATATTACTGTATTAAAAATGCATCAGAAATCCAAATTTTGAATATTTGATCCAGTTTTGGCTTTACATTAATCTTTATAGAAAACTTAGATTTATGACAGTTTGACTGTTGAAAAACTATTTTATGACATTTTTGATAGTTTTCAGACAAAGGAGGTTTTTAACGAATTTTTTGGTCAGTTTTTGGTACTCACGAAATGCATTCATTTCATACTTTATTCTGAATCTCTTCTGAGTCTTATCCAATCAAAGATTAAGGAGTACCACCCAAATACTTTGATTTGAAAGTGAAATTATAATTCTCAGAATATCCAAGTGCCTTTATTAACCCGAAATTCTAACATCAAATTTGATTAAAAGAAAACTTAAACATTAAAAAACAATTACATACCTGATTTCATTATGAACTTCGAATCTAAAAAACTGGGTTGAGTTTTTCTATTGATCTCAAGACCACCTCCAAGATCCATCAACAATGCCTCACGAATTTCTTTGTGTAATTTTATGTGTATTTATTTGCTCCTCATCATATACATTTATAGATGGAGATAAACCTTAATGTGAGAGGTGGAAGAGATCTTGAGTCAAACTGGGAATTCAACCCACAGCTAAGTAAATATTTTGTAAATCGGTACATTAACAATTTATATTGTTACCATAATAACTGGATTTAATGATAACACACACACACACACACACACACACACACACACACACACATATATATATATATATATATATATATATATATATATATATATATATAGGTTCAGGTTCATTTGAAATCATGCTAATTTTGTGAGACCGTGAGACAAAATCTAAAAATAATTTTAAAATACAAAATAAAAGGAAAAATCCGAAATTCTTTTTTTAGTTATTGTTTTCGTCACTTTAATTACCTAAAAAAAATAAAAAATAAAAAAAATTATACGTGAAATATTCTAATAGAATATATTACACTGTAAATATTCTAATGTGATTTTTAGAATATTTAAATGTTCTACTGCATTTTGTCATATATGTAAAATATAGAACATATAAATGACGAAAATAATATTTGAAATTTTTTTTCAATAATTTTCAATTATTTTACATTTTAAAAATATTTTTTTATCTATATAATGAGTTGTTAGGATTGCGTCTTACGGTCTCACAAAATTAGGCTGTCTCATATGAAGTTAAGGTATATAAACTTATGTATCCAAATCTACCATAATACGTTTTTTTTATATATTTATTATAATATTGTCAAACTTCAACCCTTAACTTGATTTACTTTCAACATTTTCAAAATTTCACTATTATCTTCCTTTTATATCGTATTTTTTTTGTCTAACACTACTAGGCTATATATATATATATATATATATATATATATATATATATATATATATATTATAGTTTAAGATAAAAATTATATAAGAGGACAATTAATGTGAAATTTATAAAAAATTTCGAAGTAAATCAAGTTAGAAGTTGAATTATAAGAATATTGAACAATTACAATGTATTTATACGATACAAAACGACGTACTATAGTGAGTTTGGGTATTTAAGCTTATATACCCTTAAGGATATATATTCACTTTTCGATATATATATATATATATATATATATATATATATATATATATATATATATATATATATATATATATATATATATATATAGGAAAAAGTGAATATATCCTTAAGGGTATATAAGCTTAGGTACCAAAACTCATCATATTACATCGTTTTGTATCATATAATACATTCTAATTGTCCAATGTTTTTATAATTTAACTTCTAACTTGATTTACTTCCAATATTTTTATAATTTACACATTTATCTTTCTTTTATATAATTTTCATTTTCAACTACAATATATATAGCCTAGTAGGTGTTCGGCAAAAATATGTAATGTAAGTGAATGATAATAGTGAAATTTCGAATATCTTGAAAGTAAATCAAATTAGGGTTGAAGTTTAATAATATTATAATGAATATATCAAACAAAACGATGTATTATTACGTGTTTGGGTACGTAAGCTTATATACCCTTAAGGGTATATTCAATTTTCATATATATATATATATATATATATATATATATATATATATATATATATATATATATATATATATATATATATATATATATATATATATATATATATATATATAGTCCCACAATTATCTAACATTAAAACCTAAAATTGAGAAACAAATAGGTTTAGAAATTCGGTATCTAATTGCTATTTTAAGAAATAGGAAAATTTGATGCAAAATAGAATCTTAAAAGGAAAGGTGATGAAATATGGAAGGTTAAAATAATCATGGGGAAGGGTGTGTGGGCACGAAAATCGCATTAGGTGTCTGGATTTATCGTTTACGTAAGCCTAGCAACGTCACCTTCTCTTTCACATGCATGTCACATGGTGCAAGTGTCTGAAATGTATTTCTATATAACTGTTTTCACTAGATCTTTATTAATTTGGTATTTTAATATATGAAGCTTGTAGGTGTTAGAAAAATAATACTAAAGTTACATGAGACGACGTTAGCTAGTGTTTTTAACTTCTAGTTAAGATTAAACATCCAACCAATAACAAAATTAAAATATGCGGACTTTTGACTTGCTTTTGTAAACATGTTTCAAATGTAAAAATAGAAAAAGCTAATTAGGGGTTTGGGCGACAATTTAATTGGATGAAAGACGCAGTCAACAAAAGCCTCTCTCGGTCTATCTCCTACTTCTCCACTGGAATTCCAATATATGACCAAAGACTTCGACTTTCTTTATTTCAGAATTTAACTCGTTTTCTTTGGTCAACTCCCCCTCCCTATATTTCCCCCAAACCTTTCTTCATTCATGTGGAACTACAAATCTCTCTCTCTCTCTCTCTCTCTCTCTCTCTCTCTCTCTCTCTCTCTCTCTCTCTCTCTCTCTCTCTCTCTCTCTCTCATCCAAAAAAGAAAGTTGACCTGCTCATATATGATTTAAGGTGAAAAGCCACCATGGATCACAAAAGAGTTGTTTATGAGTTGACTCAAGGTAAGGAATTTGCCGAGCAACTCAAGATTCATCTGAATAACCCTTCGTCTTCCCATGAAACCCAAGAAATCTTGATCCATAACATCCTCAATTCCTATGAAAATTCACTATCTTTACTCACCAATCATGTACTTACTACAAATGGGAGCAATGATGAGCCACATTTGCATGGTAAAAAGGGAATCATAAAAAAGATGGAATCCCAAGTTCCATTCAGCGAAAGCCCATGTAGCGAAGATTCAGACCCTGAGTCGTTTAAAGATCTTGATCCCAATGATTTTGGAGCCAAGAGGTAAGTCCAATGTCACTATACGTAAATGCATGAACAAGTCGTACACATTTGATAGATCTAATTAGTACTTAGAGATTCAATTGATTTGAGGTATATGTATAGGAAGACAAATGGGAGTATCGAAAAGTGGAAGAAACAAGTGAAAGTGAGGGTAGACATGGAGTTTGAAGAAGCTCTCGATGATGGGTATAGTTGGAAGAAGTATGGCCAAAAAGACATTTTTGGTGCCAAGCATCCCAGGTATGGTATATACAGATCGACTTCACATACTTGTTTGTTGGTTTAAGAACCAAGTAAAAAGAGCCATCATTGTCCAATGTTCCAAACTTCCAATGCATTCATTACTAATTAAGAGGGTATAGCCGTGCTCGCAAACTGAATAATGAATATGTAACTGGAAACTAATCATCTATTATATTTGTTAATTAAAACAGTATAGATAAGAATCACTAGAATATGTCATCATACTAATAATTTCCATATTAAAAGTACTAAAAATGGTTATAACTTATAATCACTTTTGACGACATTCTTCGGTGTTTTCTTATTCAAACTAAAATTTTGATCATTAAAAAACTAATGAGTAATTACACAAATGGTCTCTATTGTTTGGGGTAATTTACATTTTTGGTGTGTCTAACTTATTTTTTTTAAATCAGAAGGTTGTTACTGTTTTTTTTTTTTTTGCATGCTTGGTCTCTATCTTACATAAAAAGACTATTTCGCCATTAATTTTTTAATTTATTTAAACAAACACACCTCTAACCCCACTTCCACCTCAGAATACCTTACCTAAACTACCCAATTTTATTTAAATAAATTAAAATATCAAAGGCAAACTAGTCTTTTTAGGTAAGATAGGGACCAAGCGCGCAATAAAAACAAACTGTAGAGATTTTCCGATATAAATTAGTGACCAAAAGGTACAAATTACCCCAAACCATAAAGATCATTTCGTGTAATCTACTCAAAACTAATTGAATCGTAATTTGAAATATAAATTGCCATTTGTATATAATTATCTTGACACGAAACAATCAACATATATGTTGCGAGATGTGTGGGCCCAAGTCGTGTATGAATTGTGTCCAACTTGGTGGATTAGAAAAGGGGTTTTGACATTTATCTTGCATAAATCTTATCATGTATGTTTTTTAGAATAGCGTTTTTTTAAATCGCGTATGCACGGTTTCTTACCTTAACGAATCTTTAGATTCTTTTTGAAACCGGCAAAATTTTATTCAAAAAAAAACCCAAACCCAACAAGGAGTTAAGGCAGGGGAAGGAACAAAACGTCACAAACAAAGGAAACGAGAAATACACCGTTACACCAATTAAAAGCATATTTTTTATGTCAGAATTTAAACCAACTAAACACCAACTCAATAATATGATCCATAGTTTTTGCGGGGGAAATGATATTCTTTGTCGAAAATTTTGTTGTTTCTAACCTTCCATATGCACCAGATCGATCCAAATAGAATAATAATGAATATATTTTTTTTCGAACAATGTCTGTTGCACCAAAATTGATTATATGAAATTGCATATTCGCCTATCATGTCAGAGAAGTGTGTGTTTTAACTATATAAGTCAACATAAGAAAAAACCACTAATTGTTAAAACTTAAAAGTACTGTTTACTGTTCATAAACCAAATTAATAGTTCTATTTACCTTTTTTTTTTAATTTTTTTTTTTATATTAGTATGTGGGATAATGTAAGAAGTTGCGTACGGAAATAATGGATGGTGCATACGGTAATTTTGTCAATTCATGATACTAAGTTACTACATGTTTTTTCTTGGTTTTGAATTTAATTTTGCAGAGGTTATTATAGATGTACATATCGACAGCTACAAGGTTGTCTTGCAACTAAACAAGTTCAAAGAACCAACGAAGATCCAAATATCTTTAACATGACCTACCAAGGAACTCATACTTGTCACCCTGCAACTGCAACTGACACATCTCCAACATTACCATTACCATCGTCATCATCACCGCCACCACAGATCCAACATCCACCGCTACAAAACCAACTCCTTGGGTCCCCCAAAATTCCTCAAACAGATCGTAAAGCCATAACCAAAAATCTAGAGACCCATTCAGTTTACTTCCCTTCAACATCTAACAATAACTTTGTTTTTCCAACCCTTAATAGCACTTCCGATGGCAACGAAACACCGTCCTTTATCACTCCAACAACATTAGGGTCTACCTATTTCATGATGTCACAGCCTCAAGTAAGTATGTGTGAAAAAATCGAGAATATAGTGGGTGTAGAATCGGAACTAAACGACATTGCTTCTGCTGCTACATCATCTACAAGTTTTCATAATGCTGACTTGCCCTTGCCATTTGGGGATATCGAATTTGGTAGCACCTTCAGTTTTGACAATTCAATATTTTTCGACTAATATAGACATATATACAACATTCTATTGACAGGAAAAAGGAACCTCTTAGAATCATTTTGATAGTCTAAACGTAGTTGAGAACATACTATGTCAACTTAGGAAGATGATAAGAACGACTCTTGTAACTGATATCGCATCGATCTATTGGCTGTAGTATATCAGAGTTATGTATGTTTAGATCAATTTTGATTGTGTGTATCATAAGTTGTAACTCTTGAAGGATTTTCTTGTATTATATATATTATAGTTGAAAACCCTCTAAGTATTCTAAATTTTTTTCCATAATATTGTGTCTAATAATATGTTACACCATCACACCTACCGTCGGACATACTATTATAATTTATGAAAAAAAAAATATAATACTTTTGCTATATCATTTTTAAATTTTTATAACTTTTTATATAAAAAATAATTTATATTTTTTGAGGTTAGATCGACAATGATTAAATATATGTTAGACTACGTATTTTCATATGCATTAAAGACATCGTTAGGATAACTTAAAATATATCATTATATACTTATAAATGAACAATTTTTCCTTACACCACATTCATTTGAAACTCTCATTCATTTTTCCTTTCATCATATTCTTTTGAAACTCCCATGACTTTTCAATTTCTTTCTAATAATGATTATAAGTTGGTTAAAAATGTTAAATAAATATAAAACCTAAAGTGTAATCATATATAAACTAAATTTCAATATTAAAAAGAATATATTTTCTTCAACTTATAAAGTTATGTTTTTAACTTTTAGCATATTATACTTAATTTATTAGGTCTAATATGTTGTATGTAAACCATTATCATTTTAAAGCTACAACTTTTGAACAATTTACATAAAATATTTAAATTGTTAATTTAAATATAACCTTACAAGATCAACTTAAATATAAATTTTAGTTGAACTTAAACAACCTAAAAAATATTTTATAAATAGTTAAAAATGATAAATTATAGTGTCTTTCTAATAATGATTATAAGTTAGTTAATAAGTTTAAATAAGTATCAAACTTAAAGTGTAATCATAAATAAATTAAATTTCAATATTAAAATAATATTTTTACTTCTACTTATAAAGTTATGTCTTTAACTTTTAATATATTATACTTAATTTATTAGATTTAATATGTTATTGTATGTAAACCATTATCAGTTTAAAGTTACAACTTTTGAACAGTTTGGACAAAATACTTAAATTCTTAATTTAAATAAAACATTACAGGGTCAACGTGAATATAAATCTCAGTTCCACTAAAAAAACCCAAAAAAATATTTTGTGAATAGTTAAAAGTGATAAATTGTACTGCTAAATGCAAAAACAAAATTGTAATATGAATTTAACTAAAAATTCCCTAAAAATATTTTTATAATCGTTAAAAGTTTTCAAATAAATATCATAAAATAACTTACAATAGCAATAGTTAAAAATAACTCTATATAAATGATTATATAGTTACCTTTACAATAAAAAATAAAATGTTTGATGTTTTAAATAATTACAATGATAGAAATTAAAACATTAAGCAAATAAATTTTAAAAAATTAATTAACAACAACAACAACTATAAATAACCTTAAACCATATATTATATTTAATTTTATTTATGAGTAATCCGCGGATAGAGGTCATTCAAAAGATTGAGATTGTACAGTTTTAATAAATGTATATATTATCATATAATTTAAAATAATCAATATATTATATCAACTTAGTATACCAATTACTATATAAAATTTAACAACAACATTATTGTTATATTTAAAAAAACATATATTTGTAAATATTTCAACTATGTAGATGCTTCTGCGCGACGCGCAGGCATTCGACTAGTATATACATATTACAATGAGACATTAGTCTGACTAAACTAGGCTGTGCAAATCTATACAACTGGGCGAAGTAATATACAAGCGGGAGGTTGATTCCTGATGCTTAAACCAGATATGAAATCCATGATTAAAGACGTGGGAAAGCCCTTCGTAAATATTTCGTTATATTAATCATTGGAAAGCAAATAAAGGATGAAGTTATGTCGATTCTCCAGATTAGCTTTAGAGCTTGAGGTTATTGGGCTTGAGAAGAATTTGAGAATCCATAGCAATGCATATAGTATAATAAACAAGAAAGATCAGGAGCATTACTATCGTATGTGAGTATTAGATTGCTTTCTTCCTAGTTTTATTGCTTCACTGCTCTTGGTTTATATAGCTCTCAAGTTTTGCATGAGAGAAGACACTTAGTAGCATTGATAATATTTGTTTATAGTAGGCGTTGTACTAGTGTTATGGACTTTTTAAATAATAATAGCTTTGGTCATTTATTAAATTTATGGGATTTGATTAGTATTGTGAAATCTTCCACCGATTAGGTTTGTATAGCTAGTATTTTGCCTGATATTGCTTACATGACATTTTTTTATGCTGTTGGATTAAATGTCTAAGTCCATAACTATAATTGATATAAACTTGAATTTATTGTAGCACAATCCTTTAATTTTGGGTTGCCCTCAAGCCATACAATTGAATCAGATGACTTTTAGAGAGAGAAGACTGATTTATTAATTTGTTATATGGTTAATAAACTAATTAAAAGTCAAAATAAATAATTTGTTAATATATTATAAGAATAATATATTAATTAGAAATAATATTATTTAATTAATAATTAATCAGAGATTAACTGGATTAACTTTGGGATTAATTTGATTAATTAAGAACAAGAGGACTAAAGGTGACAATGTTTAATATGAGCATTGAGGAATTCTAGAAACTCCCATAAATAAGGGGAATGAATATACGGTTTGCTTGGGCTCTAAGGGTGCCTTAGGAAGGAAGTTAAGGGATTAGTGTTATCTGGGAGATACTTGCCTTATCTGGGATTAGTGTTATTTGGGTTTAATTTCATCCATCCCTTATTCCTTAGAGGAAATTCTAATTTTTGCTAGTACTCTCTCTCTCTCTCTCTCTCCCTCCTCCCCTCTCTCTCTCTCTCCCTCTCTCTCTCTTCCTCTCCATCTCTCCCTTTCTCTCTCTCTCTCTCTCTCTCTCTCTCTCTCTCTCTTTCTTTCTCTTTCTATTTCTCTTTCTCTTTCTCTCTCTCTCTCTCTCTCTCTCTCTTTCTTTCTCTCTCTCTCTCTCTCTCTCTCTCTCTCTCTCTCTCTTCAAGTCCCTTGATTGCTAGGGTTTGGGTGTGAATCAGCAGAGATGTGACACTTGTGGCGTTTGCTGCCAAAGGTTTTCAAGTAAGAATTTAAGATTGTTTACAATAACAATCTTTAACGTATGTTTTCCTTCTTTGTTTCTTGTTTTTGAAAATATGTTAGGTATCCTAGGGTTTCTTATTTGTTGTTTAAAGTTGTATGTTCAATTAGAGAAAACATAAATCAAGAACTAGGGTTGCATACACACATATAATTTTATATGTTTTGCATCATACCCATCAGTGGTATCAGAGCATATGGTTTGGTTTCTATTGATTTGTTGCAATTGTTGAACGAACAAGGAGAAGAAAAACAAAATCGTCATTTTGTTCTGCCACCTCGACGTGGTGACCTGCGAATTCATTCGACCACGATGTGGTAATTGTTTACCACGATGTGTTGGACGATCAGATCAACAAAAATCACATTTTTTTGTTTATCTCATGAATTAATTAGGATAATTACCTTAAATAATGTTTGTTGGGTTTATAAGAATTGCACCATTGGGCCTAATGCTTTTGACTATTTTGTATACCCGGGTTGGGCATGTCCAACCGTGGACTATTATTAGGGTTAGCTTATATATTGTGCATGCATGTATAGCTTATTTAGACATTGTTTGATCCATTCTTGTGTTCTTTGCTTCATTATTTGTCATCTGTTTAGAATCTATCGATTTTATTAGAATATTATTCTCATCAATTGGTATCAGAGCGGGAGACTGTGTAATAAATACGCATCTTTATGTTTGAAGAGTCCATTAGGGTTTCCGCTTTTATTGAATATATAGAAGCCATCTTCTTCGGATCGATGGTGTCTTTTTTTTTTTTTTGATAAAACCCTAAGTTCATCTTTACAAGTCTGATTCTAGCAGCGATTAGAAAAAGCTCATCATGCCTCACGATGACTCTCAATCCAATCTCATCAACATCTCCAACAACATTGGATCCACTACTAGGATTCCTATTCTCTATACTCAATATTATGAAGTGTGGACACACCACTTCGAAGACTACGTCGTTGGATCTGAAGATAATGGCTATCTTATCTGGGAGGCGATAACATTAGGTCCGTTTGTTCACTCTGGAACGAATAGAACTGTCAAGACTCAAAAGGAGTACAATCAACTCTTGATAGACGTAGAAAAGATCCCTCAAGATGAGAAAGACAAGGTGCTATGCAACGTTAAAGCCATGAGAATGACCAGATTCGCTTTGCAAGCTGACACCTTTCGTCTAGTAAGTCCTTGCAACACTGCAAAAGAAATATGGGATAGGCTAAAAGAATTATATTCTACTGATGAGGATCTAGAGCACTCAATTCAAACTTTGTTTCTCTCTGAGTTCTGTGCTTTCAAACAAAAACCTGAGGAGAAACTCATTCAAGCATTCAATCGATTTAACCACTTGCTTAGCAAAATGATCAAGCATGGAATTGGAAGGGAAGTGATCGAATAAAAAGTTACTTTTATGAATGGGTTAAGACCCGAATGGATGGCTGTGGTCTCAAATGTGAAGGCACACGATCAATTTAAAAGTTATTCGCTGGAAAAGTTGGTTGGAATTCTCAAATCTCATGAAAGCGTGGTTTCAAAGGAAGCGAAGGTAGTTTCGGGTATGGGATCCTTGGCTCTTCTTTCTAAAGGCAATAGTGTGGCAGAAGAAGAAGAAGAAGAAGAAGAATCAGATATGTCAGAATGCGATATGACCAATGAAGAATATGCAATGATGGTTACAAACCAATAGAAGTTTGCTCGTAAAAATTTCCCAGCCAACAAGAACCGAAACTGGCAAGGGATCTACAGTTCAGAGAAAGCGAAAGAGGAAACCAAGAACACTTCTGAAAAGGACGATGAAAAGAAGGAGAGTAAGCTTGCAGAAGACTCTAGGTATGATTGCAACTACTATCATGGCAAAAACCATTTTGCTAAGGATTGCATGGTAAGAAAAATGACTGGGAAAAAGGATGGTGAAGATGACGAAGCTTACTACTTGTGAAAGCTGGAGGAGA